ACGGAGCAAAATATTGTCTACTTCTCACCTCTGCTCTAAACTCAGTAACCTTTTAATACTGCCTTTTCTCCTAATTGTCAAAGCATCTGTCCTGGTGCACAGAGCAGATCTGCTATTGAAAGTGACAAACTTGAGTACATGCACAAGCAGAACTTCCTTCTTTATTAAAAAAGAAAAGGCAGAGAGAAATTCAGGCACTTCCCCATGTCTTGCCCTCCTCGGCAGTGTATCTACTCTAAAAACGAAATCTTAATTAGCTTTTATGTGTTCCAAAAGCTAAACCAGCAAGGCTTCAGTTTTACAATTATTTTAATTCTACAACTAACCTGCCATGCAACTTGGGAAATTGTTTTCTTCTGCATGTTTCTCCTCCCACGTGATGTTAAAAAAACCCCAACCAAATAAAAGGAAAAAAACAACAAAACACAAGAAACATGGTAGCACTCAGGTTCAGCTTTAGCTGCCTCCTTCTCTGAAAGCTAGCGGGGTGAAAGGAGAATGAACTCAAAGACACTCACTCACTCAAAGGTGCTCAGGCATCAAGACAGTATTTTAAGCGATAAGATTTCAGGGGAACAGAAAGATCTTTACAGAAACACATGGCCAATATATTGTCATGGTTTGATGCTGGCACAATGCCAGTGCCCCCATGAAAATACATTCTCCCAGGTGTCTGCTGTGAGTTGTGACCAGGAATAGAGTGAAACAGGCTCCAACTTAAGAATAAAGAAAACTTTATTAACCTACAACTCTATGTAAAAAGAAACACACAGAAAGACTGAAAATGTCCAAAAACACCCCTCCTCCCCCCACCAAATTTCCAATACATCCATCCCTCAGATCACCAACTCTCAGTCCATCACCACCCTTTCCATGTCACTCCACATGGCACCACTCAGAGAACATTTGCCATCGTGACCTCTTCCTTCCACATCCAGTGCTCTCACCACTAAACATGGACCAGAGCTGCTTCTAGGGTCTTCCTTTTAAGGGTGCTTTGTCCAGTTCCAAAAAAAAAAAAAGCACAGTCTCTCACTTTCAGGACACCTGTCCCCCCCACATTTCACCCCCTGGGGCCAAGGGGTCTCAAAAAGAGAGATCTTCTCCTCCACTGAAGATCGAGGGCACCAACCAACCTCCTCAACCTTGTCTCTGTTTACGCACTCTTTCACATAACATCACTGCACTCCCTTGGCTCTGCGCCATTGCCTCCCCCTAAATGCAGTCTCTGTGTCACAGGAAAAATGGTTCTGTCCATGGCTATACAAACGTCCAGCCAAAGGCCACTCCATCATCTCCTGCCACCTAAGATTCTTCTCCACTTCTCTTGTGGCCCATTTCCCCTCTCTCTCTCTCTCTCCCTCCCCACCCTGGGGAGGCGGGGGGGGGTGTTGTTGGCTGCCCAATGCCTCTTGCTCCTCCACCCTTCCATCCTCAGGGCCCGGGCCTACCTCACCCGGCCGCATGGCTTCCCCTCCCCCGCCCAGCCGCAGCAGCCGGGCAGGGGAGAGGCCTGAGCCCTTCCCTGACCCGAACAAAGAGAAAGTTTTCCTGGGAGTTCTCCGCTTTTAACCCCCGTGTTCTCAGAGGCATATCCATGTCCCCAGCGGCCACACCAGGTGCCAATATTCAAATCTGAGCACCTATTGGTTTGACCACAGCATCCCAAAAAAACTCACTTCCTCTCAAACCATGACATATATAAATGCTTTAGAAACAAGAATCTACAACTCAAGTGTTTCATGTCTCCTGCAACGTGACTGTAAAAGTCAAGTGCTTGGCTAAAATGTCCTTTTCATTTAAGAGATAAGACACTGTCAAAAGTCAAGGTGTCCTGTTTTCTAAAACTACTGTCCATTACAAGTCAGGATAAAGACACTACTTCATATAACAAAAGTTCTGCAGCCCTCTTCCTAAGATTCAGAAAACTTAAGACTAGTCTACTTAGATGGCCTCAGTAAACAGCACAAAAGATTTTCCTTCCCTTTCCAATGACCTACTGCTCTAGTAGCATTAGCCACTGTTCTTGAACAGCAACCTAAGGTTTATGAGACATTAAAGTTACACAGGATCTGAAATACTACATTATTCCCATATTTGAATCAAAATCCAAAAGGAGACAGAGGCAAGTGTTCCTGTCCTCCAGGTTTCTCTGACTCAGGATAAAGTGGTGTTCTTTCTCAATGGATAAAAAAAAAAATAAGTAAGAAAAGCATGCTTTAAACAATACAAAGCAGTGATGGCAGAGGTTCAGCCACTTCTATGCTATATATCAGTGGGAATGAAAATTGAAGCACTTTCTGGGCAGAAAACCTCCCTCTACTTTTGAACTTTCTCCCCTCAGAGGATTACAGTCTTAGGTACTTGAAGCTTGCAGCAGAATTTAGGAATTATTTGCTCAGAGGAAACACAAGGAAACCAGAAAAAGCGAATTATCCACTTCATGGTGATGGGCTACCACCTATTTTCACTAGCCCTCTTCCTAAAGTGATATCCTAGTACATGTCTGAATATGGACAGTTGTCCCTAAAAAATCTGTCTCAAAGACACTTTGAGGCAGGAGACTTGGACCAAAATTTCTGCAGTACCAATCTCCACCAGGTTCTCTAAAAAGACCAGATAGAAGATTAGAACAGCTCCTAGTAAAGTATCAATAAATAACTAATGCAGAGCTTTAAGCCTAAGTCAGACTTGAATGCTGACCTCCCTTTGTTACTCAGCTATTGAAGTTACTCAGCACTATTAGTTGATTAATGAGCCAGTCTCTCAAAAGATAATAATCCATCATCAGAGATTAAGATTTTTAAGATTAGCACTGGAAGTGTCCAAGGCCACACTGGATGGAGCTCTGAGCAACCTGATGTAGTGAGGAGTCCCTGTCCACAGCACAGAGGTTAGACTAGGTCATCTTTGAGCTCCCTTCCAACCCAGACTATTCCACGATTCTGAGACTGAGACATACAAACTACCCAAAAAGTGGTTTTATCTGCTTACCTCCACTTACTCTACTCCCTCTCTATACTACTTAATACACAGTGCAGGCATTGCCTTAAAGCTAGAACACCTGTTTACTCTTTTTTTTTTTCTGAGATGGAAAAGAAGTTACTACATTTTTTTTCTTGCCAGTGTATGACATATTAAGCTGAAGAAGGGATATCCCATACACAGCAAAGCTGTTGATCTCCTTCCATCAACAGGATAAGACATATGGCTTTTTCTGATAATGCAGCTAGAAGGAAAAAAATACCATATTCTCTCTTCCTACTTTTATTCTGCAAGGATCATAGCCTAGTGTCATTTCCAGGTCAAGCACAGAACTGCACTCAAGTCTAAACATCACGTACCACAGACAGTTTTGCTCTTCCTTTTAGAGTATTTCTATGCTGCCAAGTGCCTAGAACAGAACTACAGGTACTACATGCAGGGTATAGGAAGGTGGATTTCATTTCTATTGCCAATGGAAAATCTGGGCAAGAACTTATGAGAAGTTAGCTGACCCACTTATGAGAAGTTAGCTGACCAAAGCCTAAATCTAGAGTTATTTCTGCTCCCAGGCTGTCAGGAATACTGATACACTTCTCAAAACCTCAAAGCAGTAAAGCAGAGAGAAGCTTGCTTGCACTCCAAAAGCAAAGAAGTTCTTCAATACAACTGAGGAACGACATTACAGGGTGAAAGATACTCCTTATAACACTGCTTCTCACCAGCTCTACAGCAGTGTGGATAGACTGTGCCAACAGCTGCAGCTTCTCAGCTGGCAAGACTTGTGAAGGCAGCTGCCAATTTCTATTGCTACAGGTTTGCCAGACATCAACCTAGTTAGATCACTAAACCATCCATCACTGACAAAAACCTCCCTAATTTCTACCCCTGCCTTAGTCACCCTTTTCTCCGCAGGTCATCAATTGACTCATTTGTTAGATGAAGGCCTAAATTCTCGAAGAGAAGGTAAACATTGCTTCTCACTAGAGCAACAGTGGGCAAATGTTCAAGAAGAGGACTCCTTACATGGGAAGGAAGAAGTGCTGAATCCCTACATCACAGCTGCACACAGCAGATGGTGAAATACTGAAGAGGCCAGGCTACCTTGACTTACTTTCCTGTAGCATGGGAGGGTACTGGGCTAGATACTGCTGACAGCCTCAAGGTTTTTGGAGCCTAAGGGATCCATCCTACCCAGAAGCAGCTCCATATTCCCCAGGACAACAGCCACAGAAGAAGCACTTCTTGCCACCACCAACTCAGCAAAACCTTGTATGCACGAACCACCTGTACCAGAACTGCATTTAAATCCACATCATCCTTTGCAGTTCTTGCTCCCAGGAAATCCTACCTTAAAAATTTCAGGAAGACTTGTCTACAGGGATACAAGTCCTTGCAAGCATAGTTAATGTATCGGCAGTGCTATACTGCCACTACCGAATTATTATCACGAGGAAGGCACTTCACAGAATTCGCTACTGTCCTGTGAACATATCTCAAACCTAGAGAAGGGAAAACAAACACAGATACTCCTGCAGAACACCGTGTTGGTACTAGTGCTGGGAAGAAGTGAGCAGGAATTCAGCCTGGAAAGGACAATCACAAACAAGTTGATGATAAGGAAACCATGCCAGCTCAAAGCCTCTTCCCCGTGAGGACTACAGGAAGGAGACGGCAAAGGAGCTGCAGCAATGCCTGAAAAATTTACACCGATCTGTAGAGTATGAGCCACAGGAGACATAGTAAATAAAATCCTGCCTCTCGCAACCCTCCTCTGACAGCGCGACTACCAGTGTCCCAGACGGTTCTCCGCAGCAAGGGACACGATGTCTTCTCCCCCCGGAGCTGCCCTGTGCTCTTGCAGTGGATGTCAGCAGCGCCTAGGGCTTTATCTCCCCACGGCGAGACGAAGCCGGGAAAAGGGATGTGTCAGGGAAACACACACACACAGTCCTCCCAGCTCTCCTTCAACACCAGAGGCCCTCTCAAATGCCGCAACTCCTTCCCCCGGGACATACCTTGTCGGCGATGCTGCGGGGCAGGAGCAGGTCGGGGCTGGGGGTGAGCGCCGGCCCCATCTCCTCGCTGCTGGACGTGGCCAGGGGATGCGGCATCTCCCGCAGCGACTTGGGCCCGGAGGACGGGAGGGGCTTAGGGGCGCTCGCCGCGCCGCCCGACATTGCGCCGGGGCCGGGCAGCGACCGAGGCAAGGAAGGAGGGAGCGGAGGCCGCGCCGCCTCGGCGAGAAGCTGCGGGGCCGCGGCCGGAGCCTGCCCGCCACCGCCGCGATACGACGAGGCGCAGGAGGCGGCGGCTGCGGCGACGACGGAGGAGGAGGAGCGAGCGCAGCATCCGCCTGCGCCGCCGCCCGCCCCTTTCCAAAGCGACATCCGCGCCACCTGCCGCCCCGCCCGCCCGGCCCGGCTTGGCGGCGGGGACACAGGCACCGCCCCCGGCGGCCACCCAGCGCAGCGGGGCGGGTCGGGGCGGAGGGGCGGCCGGGGGAGGCATCAGGATTCGTGGAGCTCCGGGCGGGCCGGGGGAGGCAGAAGCTCTGGTGGAGCCCCTGGTGGGCCGGGCCGGGCCGACTCGAGCCGACCCGAGACGGGGGAGGCACCGCGCCACCAAGCCCCGACGGTGACCCTGGAGTGCGGCGGTGTCGCCGCACGCTGTCGCACGGCGGGTTAAGTGTCAGAAAAGCAATCCTGCTCCTCGACTTCTCTAGGTTCGCCGACCTCAAATTACGCTCATGTTGGAAGGGAAATTTGTTGCGGTGTAGGACCGAGCCCAGGCGGGCTCAGGAGGGACAAGGCCCGGCCTCCGGGACTCCCTCACGGTGGGAGTACACCGGATACACTGAGAGATGTCTTGCACGCAAGGCTTGCATAGAAACATCCTTTCACTGATGCCACGTGTCTACTTTTGCCGCAGAGATCTCACGTTGAGAGATCTCCCATTGTTGTAGAATGTTTGATCGTGCTGAAATGAGCCGAAAGATATATCAAGAACTTTAGAAGCAATTCATGCAAATCCATCTAACAGCATGTATCCATTACAAAAATTCAGTGATCTATCCACATTTAACAGCATGGAAAAAGTGTTCATGTTGGCAGAATAACCAGAAAATAGGTGGAAAATCATAGTGCTGGTCTAAGATGTTTCCTGAGCAGGTAAAGCTAAATCTGGTGGATAGGTTGCTTTTTCCCAAATAATTTGCTCAGCGCTAATTAGACATTATAGAGTAACATGCTACTGGGGAAAGTGATGGATCACTATAAGACTGTCACAATCCCTTCCAGCTACAGATAGATATATGAGGATAAACATACACCTATGAGACCAGATAAGACTTGGTTGCTGTAAACATTTCATTTGTGTTTAATTTTTTCTGGGGAGTACAGACCACTGAAATCAAAAGGGCAGCACTAAAACTAATAGAAAAAGTTTTACAGGTGTCATTGTGAGGTGCCACACGGCAGGACAAGCATGAGGGCACAACACTGTGGACTGTAATTACAGAAAGAAATACTGTGTATCACAGGAAAAAATACGGGGAAAAAAATCAATCCTTACTATAAATAACTCCTTAATATTACATAATGTTTGAACTTCAGCAGACATCAAAAGTCCAAGTGCCAGGCCCCAGTGAGAAAGTGGCTGTGAAATATCCCTTCTTCATTACACTTCAGAAACAACAACCTATTTATCTGTCAGAAAAAGGAAGCAATACACATTAGTCAGCTTAGATACATGTGTCCCAACTCTCTTTTAGACTATCCAAATCTTAAGTGGAAACTATTGTGATAAAGGAGCAGGCAGGTTTGTGTATCTGCCGAACTTTCATGAATTGGTTCCCTTCAGTTTTGTGACAGCCTGTATCTCAAAGGTTTATGACTTACTGAGAGCTCTTTCTCTCTTTTCCCTTAGGCATTCTCACCCAGCTGTGTTTCCAACTCATTCCTTTTCCAAAGGAAGCCTGGTCAGGGACACCAACACCTTCTAACGCTTGGAAACCTGGGGCCATCCTAGCTCTGTGCAAGTACAAATGACCTTCTTTGTACTCATTAAACCTTGGCTTAGTGGGCCTTGAGCTGAGTATAAGGAGGCTGCATTCTTGCAGCAAGGAAGACTGGTGGTATCCAGGCTGCCCAAACAGCAGGCAGCACAAGCAGCAGATTGAGTGCAGGATTTATCAGACTCTGCTTGGCACTCACTAGACCTTATCAGAAATCCTGTGTTTCCTCAGTTGTGGGACCTTTATACAAGATGCTGACAAACTGGACAAAGTTCAGAGGTGGGCACTGAGATGGTTGGTGACAATCTGCAAGCAGCAGCTGCAGGGCTGAGGCTTTTTGAGCCTGAAGCAGATAGCTTCAAGGGCAGTTAATTGCATCCTTCAGTATCCCATAGGGAAGGGGTGGAAAAGATGGAAGTGGGCTTACCACAGCAGACCATAGCAGGAGGGCAAGAGACAAAAGATCAACTGAAACAGGAAATTCCTGATGGATATTAGAAACAACTTTTTTTCCCCCTGAAGGTAAGTCAAGAGTCAGAGCAGGTTACAGAGAGAGGTTGTGCAGTCCACCCTTGGAGATTCTTAAGACAATCTGGTGCGATCTCACGTCTGACCCTCCTTCAAGCAAGAGATTGGACCAGAGACCTCCCTACATCCTTTCCAGCCTGAAAGACTCAGTGCTGCTACAGAAGTCATTTTGTCCAGTTTCTGAGGTTTGTAAGGTGACTCTCAATAGCCTGTATACAAGGATGAAGTTCCAAGCTCCACTTACTGGTCTAGTTTCCTGTGATAGGGCAATATATGCCTCTTTTTTTTGTATTAATTACAATTATCTGTGTTACCTGTTTCTGCTATGTCATCCTTACTCATTTCATCTGACATAGAATACTTAGACACATTTTCAAATAACTAACTGGATCAGTATATGCAAAATGCAGGAATATTTGTGCACCTGTGAATACAAGTAACCTGAAATCTGGTTAGAAAAAGTTTAGAAGACATTTGTGGAAGAGCTGTTACACAAGAAAAATACAAACTTGATGATTATTATCAAGTATATTCCTAAATTCTGGCTATGAAAGTTATGTTAAATTTCAGAATTCCAATTCCACACCAGCTATAAAGTCAAGCTGGCTAACTGTTGACACTAAATCAATAAAATCAATACTTAAATGTAATTTATGATAATTTATGATATTATGCTTTAAAAAAACCCAAAAAATGGACAGTGTAAGCAATCTAGCCCTGTCTTAATGACTAATGACAGATGTCTCTCGTCCTCCGATTTTGGTGAGTACCAAATATGCAAAGATTTGTACAGACAGCAATCTAGGTTTAACAGTGATACATATCTGAGGTAGCAAATGCAAACTATGATACTGAGAAACAAGGAAAAGACAAAGCTGGATGGAGCTCTGAGCGACCTGGTCTAGTGGGAGGTTCCCTGCCTATGACAAGGGGGGTGGAACTGGATGATTTTTTAGGTCCCTTCCAAACCAAACCTTTCTATGTCCTATTAGAAGAGTTCAAAAATCATAAATCATACCTTAAAATAGATTAAACTTACTTTAAATGTGTAATCTTAAAAATCTGTACAACTGTCAGGCCTTTGCTGTATTCTCTGCAAGTTCATATCACAGACAAGGGTGGGTTTGCAGGTTCTTCTTCAGCTGTAAGGGAAACCTGTTTCTATTTTTTTAACACAGAAGATGAGCATACTATGTAGTTGATTTCAAGAACTGGAACTTCAAAAAGAAGATAGAACATTGAATGTGAAATTAGAGTTAGGAGCAAATTCCTGTACCTTGATTAGAAGAAGTTGCACAATATGAACAGGGGTCATAAAGATCTCCAAATCTATTGTGCATTAAATGAAACAGAAAAAAATAGATATGCTGTGTGGCTGACTTCTTGTAGGATTATTTTCTACACACAAATAGGAACCTCTGAATGTGTCAGCATGTGGTCATCTGGCTCCAACAGCAGGCACACGAGGTACTACCAAAAACTGAGGAAGGTGTCTATTTTTATAATACCAGCAGAGAAATAATCAAATGTCTTAATTCTGCTAGGAAATGATGACTGATTAAAAACATGGTTATATATCCTTCTCCACTGTTGTGATTTAATTTTACAACCATAATATTTTCCTTGATGTTTACATTGATAATTTTCTTTTTGTTAAACTTCAACCAAGCTAAAACCATTGAGCACATGAAACATGCAACCAGAATAAAATACACAGTGAAAACAGAATAAAAAACACTGTGAATCAGTGGCAGGCTGAAAAGAGACTGCTATTCAATGCCCACATCTTAACCCAAGTGAACTTGAAAAAACTCATATGCTCTCCTAGCAAAATCATAACTGTTTATTATGTTTATATCATTTCAGCCCAGAAGCAGGATGAAACAGACAGGTGTAATACTAACTGGGCAAGAAGTCAAATGGTCAGTTTGGGGACCAAGAATCTCACCAATTCAAGAAAAATGTCACCAAGTTTCACACATTTTTTCCTGAAAAAATAGTTCTCTTTCTGTATCATTGAAATCAAAGTCCTGCAGGCTACCTCTTAAGATTGTTTACTAGGATAAACAGGGAGAGGAAAGATCCACAGATGATGTGCAGGAAAATCTACTTGCAAATTTAAAGATAGCACCTGTTCTGATTTAGAGTGCCAGTTACACCAGTAATACCACCCAGGATGTTTTTATAATGGCAGATGGCTTTTCAATTGCTCAGTGTGAGCCTGAGAAGGACTCTCAGTTGTCTCTCAATATTCTTTTTGTAATGCATCTTTATATTTTTGTCCAGATGAGGCATAAAATGGTAACAGGGTTTACCATGACTATCAGGAGGCTACATTGTATTTATTTACTAGACCAGGCACATAAAGCCCACATGCTTTTCATCAAGTATTCTGTTTAAAGACAAATTTCTAGGATTCTTAATAGCATACTCCAGACAGTACAAACAATAAGGTAGGCTTGAGGCCACAGAGATACTGGCAGGCTTGGCTAGTTTGACAGGTCAAGGGCAGTAATTTTTTTTCCCCTGCTGTCAACAGCTTCTCCTCAACTGCTTTGCCTTTTCCCCACTGTGGTTTACCTTGGCAAAGATAACGTTTGTGTCTGGCTGCACATAGGCACACAGGAAACTACAATAGAAAAACACCATTCCAGAAGATATTAAAAAACCAAAAAAATCCAG